TTTAATGGATCAGCCTATTAATAGCTGATGCCCAATGGTCTCACCACTGCGCCCCCCTCCCTACTTTGAAACCCTGCTGCTGTTGCCGTGTGAGCATCGAATCGTGGGCTCGGCAGCATCTTGACCCGGGCCCTGTCTGAAGCCACCGGGTCAAGCGGGGCTCCCTCACCTTGATGGTCACTTGCCCCTGCGGCGTGTAGACGGCTTGGGGCACATAGGTCTGGGTGGTGTAGCCCTGCTGTTGTTGAGGATAGCCCTGCTGCTGCTGCTGTGGATAGCCCTGCTGTGCTGGGTAGCCCTGCTGTGCCGGGTAGCCCTGCTGGACGTAGCCCTGCTGGGCTGGGTAGGCCGGGGGTGAGGAGTAGCCCTGCTGCTGGGAATAGCCCGGGGCCGAGGGCTGGGTGGGGTAGGGCTGATCAGGGGGGTAGGCTGGATCTGTGAAGAGGTGATTGAAAGGATACTTTGAGGACATCTTTCACTGGCACAAGTTTTATTGACAGATTTTCCACAAGAGCTTTTTCTGACCAACAACAAAAAAAAATACAAAAAAAAGTTACCCGGTGTTGATTACAAATACATACTGTATGTACCTGTACACACACACCACATGTGCATGCACACACACTGGCCTTACATACCTAGTGTGGACAATTCCTTTCTTTTCGTGCAGTTTAGAAAACTCCGTCAAGAAAATACTCGCTTTTCTTGAACTGGGAACACAATTTTCAGCTGGCTTTTTGTACAAGGTTTCCTTGACTATTCCTCTTCCTTTTACGACAGATGACCCCTACCCCAAAAATACCCCTATACTTCTTTTTCAGAGAAGGGAAACGTCCTGTGGACATGTGTAAGTCCACAGATCGTCTTCCTTTCCTGCATTGCGTGGACATCTTTTGTTCACAAGTCCACACTTGGTATTTAAGGTTAGTGCATGCATACAGGTATGTGTGTGCATGGGTGTACTGTGACTACTACATGTACATGTTCCTGTAGCTGTGTTTCTCCTATGGCTATCAATTTCTGCATTACCATTTCCACCCCCCTGTAAACATAATTTTCAGACTTGCGAATAAGCCTTTTTGCAAATTAAGTTGAATAAAATCTGATGTACACTATACCGGTACATCAAGTTATCTGATTGCACATAAACGTAACAATTTCAATTTCCCTGACATAATACACTTATTGTACCTCGTGATTCCGGGTAAGCTTTCGCATAGCGACTACCATCTCTGGAAAGGAACAGTTCCTTTGTTTCCGTCTTATCCATTGAAAATAATTGATCGATAAATGTAGGATAACCAGTAAAGACAGAAAAAGTTTGTTCTGAACCACAAGGTACATGTATACTATAGCAACAGTGTGTTTAGTCTGGAGAATTCAAATTGTTATGTTCATGTGAATTTAAAGAACTCAGTGTACCAGATTTTATTCAACTTTAATTCCCACGCATATGCAGCAAGGTACGAGACGGAGAGAACCCCCTCTGCTTTGTGTTGGTCATTGTCTCGC